GGAGTGGAGGTGCACCACAATAAAACCCCGCCCTTTATTCAATATTCCGTTTCACTTGGAAATACATCACAACACTGAAGTCAGTTGCAACTTCTGGTTCATGGGTACTTTGATATTTATATTTTTTAAGGTATTGAAGTTAGAAATTCCTCTATCATGACCACTAATTCACATATTTTTCAATCAGATAAAAGTGGGTTTTGTTCAAAGTAGCTATTATCCACATAGATCTTTGGTATGAATTAATATTTTTTGGTAATTCATTAAATATCGCCGACTAAAAAGTAACTAGTAACTAATACTCTGAGTAGTTTTTGAGAGGAGTACTTTGTACTTTTACTTAAGTACTGTTTTGACACCAGTACTTTTACTTGTAATTGAGTATTATTTCAGCAATGTAACAGTACTTGTACTTAAGTACAAATTTTCGGTACTCTTTCTGCGCATGACGCAGCTGACACAGAATAGCATACGCTGTTTACATTCAGTGAATATTCTCCAAAATGGCACCAAAAAGAAAAAAGAAAGTGGTTATTTTTGCAGAGACGAATTGTTGAATAAAGTCATTATTTCTGTTTTCTTTGCGTTCTCCAAAATGGCACCAAAAAGAAAAAAGAAAGTGGTTATTTTTGCAGAGGAGACGAATTGTTGAATAAAGTCATTATTTCTGTTTTCTTTGCGTACAAAAAGTATTCTCGTAGCTTCGTAAAATTACGGTTGAACCCCTGATGTCACATGGATTATTTTACTGATCTCCTTGCTACGTTTCTGGACCTTGATCGTGGTAATTACATTGCTGTCTATGGGAGGGTCAGAGACCTCTCGGAATTCATCAAAAATAACTTAATTTGTGTTCCGAAGATGAACAGAGATCTCACGGGTTTGGAACGATATGAGGGTGAGTAATTAATGACAGAATTTAAATTTTTGGGTGAACTAACCCTTTAATGGCTGAAAATTTAGCTTTGCCCTCCTAGGAAGAAATTACAACCTACATTTTATTTAAAGAGAAAACATTTCTTTTAAATTGTAATAATATTTCACAATGTTTTACTGTATTTTAAAAATTTTTTTTTTTTTTAATTCTCTCGTTTTAGAGTGAAATCTGACCTGGGCCTGTTTTCGTGAGATTCAACCAAAAAGCTTTTACTGAAATCAATGGTAGCTGTTGAACTGAATGCTTCTGACCGGCAGCACACTTTATGAAATATGACCTATAAGCTGGAAGTGTTTGACATACACCTCTGCTTCCAGGTCTAAATGTAGCATTAGTCTCCCCTCAGAGTTCCCGCTCCATTTGCATAAAACTCAAGTTATCTCTGTGTAAACACCACCAACCCTCTGACAAAAACTCACCCTAACCAGCTAACCTCATCTTCCATGTCAGCAGCGACTGCTCTGTTTACTTAAAGAGAGGAGCAGCCATTACTGCCCAGAAAAGGCACTTTAAGCGGTGGCTACATCAGTCATCTAAACCACACTCTCAAAAACACGCTCTGCATTCCACATGTTCTCAAGAGCTATTCCTGCTGTTACTACACAAATACTGCTCCATCTACGCCACATAGAGAGTCTGTGCACTTTTAGCACTTTTCTGTGCTAGAAATCTTCAGAATGGATTTAAACCTTATTGCACTCTCATTGGTACTTAACAAAAAAAAACATATTAAAAACAATTGAATGTTACTGCGGCAAGCTTACTGGAGATTTCTGCAGTCGCAGGTTCCAAGCAGGTCGACTCTACACAACCTTATACTTTAGTTTAACAACAGTGCAATTGAACAGTAAATCCAATCAAATATTTAAGGCAACAAGATGTTGTGGATGATATTACTTCTGGTGGATGGCAACATACTGTTCTGAAAACTTCCTCACTATGTCTTGATCCAGATTTGAGTGCTTTAAATGCATTTAGACTATTTTGGGGAGATGTGTTTATTGTCAGTGAGGGTCTGAACATGAAAGCAAAATGAAAGCTGGATTAAAACCTTCAAAGCGCTACAATTAACCTTTGTGTGTATGTGTGTGTGAGTGTGTTTTGAGGTGTGGAAGGAGCAAGTGATTAGGACAGTAATTACAGGCTTGCATGGGCGACACACACACACAAATTCTTCCCATTCCACACAAGCATCTCCAATGCAGAACTACTCCAGTGCTCAATACACACACGTTTACAAGCACAAAATGTTTAACTTATATCACAAATATCATAAAACCAGATTCACGAAATATTCAAGTATATTCTTTAACTCCTATTTTCTTTTTCTTGTCTAACCTAAGAAAAAAATTCAAGAATATTTTGTATTCCCAAAATCAAGAATATTCTAAAACGTAATTCCTGAGATCTTTGAATGTGAATTTCTGAAGAGAATGTTCTTAAAAATAATTATAAATAACCTCTTAAAGCTAAGAATATCCTGCAACTTGTCTTAAACCCCCAAAAGTAAGACATTTAATGAACTCGTTAGGTTTCAAATATTAAGCCTTACAACATAACACAAACATACAATTTATACTAATACTACTAGTATGTGCATCGTGCAAATACTATAAAGCCTTTAAGGTGTTTTTCATTGAGTTGATCAAGCCTGTCATTTTCTTCACAAGAAAAAAAGGTCACACTGTATTTTAAGGTCCAATTCTCACTATTAACAAACTATTAACTACGACTTTTGACTCAATAAGCTAGGGATGCACCGATACTGATACTGGTATCGGTATCGGGCCCGATACTGAGCTCCTGTACTCGTTAAAATGACCCGATACCAAACGCCGATACCACACAACATGTGATAAGTGCCATATTCAGACAAAGAAACACTGACAAGTATTTTTTAACAAGATTTTCATGAATCCGCACCCAGATCCTTAGTGCCTGTTACTGCGTAAACAAATTCCCAGGATAGAGTGTGCTCTGTGTGTGTGTGTGTGTGTGTGTGTGTGTCTGCTCAATTGTGCTCCTTCTTGCAAAAAAATATCTCTATGAAGTATTTCAGTCAGGTTTCAGGTCCCACCATAGAACAGAAACTGCACTTGTTAAAATTACAAATGACTTGCTTCTTGCATCAGATCAAAGCTGCATCTCATTGCTAGTTTTACTTGATCTTAGTGCTGCGTTCGACACTATAGATCATGACATACTCATAGATCGATTACAAAACTATACAGGTATTCAAGGGCAGGCTTTAAGATGGTTTAGATCCTACCTGTCTGATCGCTACCACTTTGTTTATTTAAAC